ATTCTCCTGAAAGCTACAGAGAAGGCACAAGCACAAAGGAAAGCCTCAAACGAAACATCCCTTTCTCTATTGAATGGAAACAAAACGCCAAGGTGGAAAAGAAACGGAACAGCTCAGTGCTGGTAGTCCGTTTCCTCTATATGGATGGCATAAATATTGCATTTAAGAAGCGTATGGAAAGGTTTATCTTTTTCTGCATTTATTTATATTTTCTTCTATGCATTTCTGGTGGTTTGGCTTGTGGAGAAGAAAAAGGGGATGGGAAATGCAGCGACCAGACATCACGTAAAGGCCCCAGAGCACCAAGACGAGGGTGCACTCCAGTTTTAGTGGGGCAATGGGGATTGCCGTTGTGGCTATCTCTGTCTCTCTCCGCTCCCCTGCAATCATCCTAGATTCCACTGTCTTGGCGCTGAGGGCTGAGGGCTGAGGCCCTTGACCTTGGTTGCTTTGCCCTCACTCCTTTCCGAATTGCTTTCTGGGCTGTGGTTGGGACTTGCAAGGAATGCACTCATCTAGCGCCATCTGCTTGATCTTTCTGGGGATATGAAATGATGGGGTTTCTTGGTGGAGCGGCGGCGGCGGCGGTGCCCATCTCACCCCCACTAACCAATAACCGTAGCCACAGGTGAGACTAATCACTGCACTAATTATATCTCCCCATTTCCTTGCTCCAAGGAATTTTCTAATCTTCTCGTGGAATTTGCTTTCTTTCCCGTGTGATGATGACAACCTTTACTGCTGGGCAAGTGGATGTCTGGATCTCGCAGCCAGTTTTGCTATCTCCTCCTACGAATTTTCTCCAAGGGAAATGTTGCAATCCTCGCAGAGTTGTGTTGCAGTGGGAATTGGCTTGGACGACTCACTCGGCGTTGCTTTTTGTCCGCTCTTTTGGCTTGGGTGGGCTTGGGAGTGAGGGCGAGACCTGGACCAGTGCCAGTCTTCCAAATTCAGCGCCCACCAGGCACCACCAACCATTACATCTGTTCCTTCCCACCGCATTTGGTCTGAAATGTTTCCCCTCTGTCTAAGCTGGGCGTGTCAACATCACTGTCTTTTTCCTAGCCAATTGCCATGCATAGGTTTGGTTGATCTCATTAATTAAGGTCAACAAAGGTGTACGGCTTTGGATTACTTACGTTTGCGCTTTCGTCTGGGCTACAAATTATAACACAAAGGGCCCATCACTGGAGACAGTAACGGTTATGCTGTTTCGACATGTGAGGGATTTAGTTGCAGAAACATCCCGTTTCAGTAGTAGCTAGTGATCCTGCATTTTCGTGGGGAGGTGGCTGGCGTTTATGTCCCCTGGAGGTTCAGCAGCATAGCGTGAACTACTTGTTTCCATGAACATAAATAATTTCTCATTGCATTCCCTGTCAAACTGTAATATTGGCAAAGAAATGAGCATGTCGATAGGTGTGCACAACATGCTTGGGGATAACCTTGTGCGATCACCACACGTTCGATTGATTGCTTGTGTGACTTTGTGGTGTTAGTGCTCTAGGTTTGCATATACACCTTTGGTTTGGGCCGCTCAGTTTTGTGTTCACCAGGGCCTACGAGGGGGGGAGGGCTTAAATTCTCGGTGATGGGGCTGTGTGTGGTGTGTGAGATCCAGCTAGTAAAATCTATCATGCTGTCCATTTTATGGCTGTGTGGTGTGTGAGATCCAGCTAGTAAAATCTATCATGCTGTCCATTTTATGGCTGTGTGTGTGTGTGAGATCCAGCTAGTAAAATCTATCATGCTGTCCATTTTATGTTTTTCCTAACTACGTCGGCATCAGTAGCTCTGACTGTCTGACATATAAACTCTGCCTGTATTTGGATTTTGTATGGCTGCATGAACCCTGAGGGTGCCGACAGATTTTGTCCGTGATTGATGCTAAAAGAAGCTATTTGAGTAGATTGAACCGTTTCATGACACTTGGCGATGTTTTGATGGGTTAGAATCTTGCCCTTAGTAGGTCATTTTTGTCATTTTATCAAAACAGCACACTTTGGGTTTTATTTTCCTATGCTTAAAAGCTACAGGCCTTTACAAGCCACATTCTTTTTACTCCTGCATTTTGATAGTAACAAGTCAAAGAAACAGGCTCCACCTGGGTTTCCATTAGTTGTCTGATCCTAGAAAGCCCTAAAGGTAACTTCATTTGTTGGCTGCACTAGAAAAGATCATTGTCTAGATTCTCCTACAAGGCAGCTTGCACAAGTAGTGTTTGTGAAACTTGTCATTTGGGAATTAAAATCCTATTCATTTAGCTCTAGTTGTTTAGTATGAACTCTGATGGTACTGTGTTTCTTTTTGTTGTCCTGATCCTGATTATAACCTACAGCCTAGGTCATGCCTTTATCATTTTTTCTTCCTTTTTTTTCTTGAACATGCAGGAGAGTTGCGTATCATCATTATATTGAGAAGAAAAGAGAAGAGGTTAGAACCCATACAGTACCCATGCTCACACAAAACAGAACAGATTGTACCTACTTGCCAGTTGCCACTTAATCAGCATTCTTCTTCCTTTTTGCTCCTACTACATCCCTTCTGTCAATGTTTAGACAACTTACTGACATGGAATCCAATTTCAGTGAATAGTTTCTACCCTGTAAGCTCGGGGCACACTCTTACTTTTCAAGTTTGGTGTTTTGCTGATTTTTTTAGGATTCAAGGGCATCACCCCATGTCCGTTGCATTGCATCAGCACAGTACTTATAAGAGTTTAGATTAAAGTGGTTACAAGACGTTAAAAGTTTGACTCGAAACAACAAGCTCTAGCCCTCTGAAGCCAGCTTAACAGATCATGACTTACAGATCTGTTGGTTAATACAAATTATAGCAGCAAGATTTAAGGGGTTGATTGCAGTGTAGTTTGTAGTCTCTGTTGGTTAGCTTCTGGGCTGGTCTGATAATAACACCTCTCTCTCTCTCTTGTTTCTGTTGGTTGCTTATTTTATTTTTAGGGACCAGCTGGGGCAAGGAGCCTTCCTGAACATAAACTATTTCGTTGAGACCAAGAAAGACGGGTCGGCGAGATTGTTTTTTTTTTCTTCTTATGATTGGATCTGTAAAAACTTATTTTCTTCCATGTTCAGGGTCAAGTGCCAAAACATGTTTATTCTCAAAGAAACACATGCGACTCTCTTGTTTATTCTCAAAGAAAATATGTGCATGGTCAAGTGCCGAAACATGTTCAGTTGAGTTTCCCCCCTTTCCTCAAAAGGTAATAGTTTGTAGGCTTTCATCTGAAATATCAAATTCAGGAGAGTTTACTTTCTGAAATACACAATGGTCATCGACTTGAAAAACTGTTATGTTGATCTGTGGTTCTGTAGGGTTGTATAGAATCTTACTGTCTGCTTATCTTGAACATTTCAGTCTAATGGTTCACAAAACTTGTGACAGTCATATGTTTATCATTAACCAAAGTTCTGTACTTTTCTTATATTATAGTCAAAACTCAAAACATTTTCAGGAAAACTCCAAATTATATTCCCCTTTGTGTTTATCTACTATGATATCCTGTGTAGAACTTTGACAAGTCTGTTTCAGAAGGCTTTTGGATAGATAAATCTAGCATGTTCAGGAAACCAAATGCTACCAAGGATCATGCTACCATCCTGATTATGTGTGAAAACACATACACAAGCAAAACGGTGTTCCATTTCTATATTTTTCAGTAGACAAAATACATACTGCAATATCATCCAAGGGGTGCCTTATTTTGGCAACAATGCTCTGCTTCATGATGGGTTCCGAAAGACAGTTTAAAAGAACTAAGGAGTTCATGTTGTCATAAAAGGAAAATTTTGTGTACTGGGAATCCTTGTGCAGCAGATAAGGAGGTGTTGTTGCCTGTTTGGTATTCATGCAACCATGAACGGAAACTTGTGTAACACCAAGCCATGCAAATCCTTGTGGGGGCATATAAGGCGGTATAATTGTCTGTTTGGTCTTCAGGAACTCCACAAAAGGTACATTTGCCATTATCAATCCATCCTCAGATGTATCTGCTTTGTTATTGTTCTGTGCCTCCCATGAAGCCAAAAGAACATTTTGTGTTTATCTGTTACAGAAACACGGTCCATGCTCACTAAGAATTAGTGGTTCCAGTAAGCCACGGGTGTTCATTATTTCTGAGATTGCATTGCTTTTGATTCACCAGATGTATAATGCTTGCACGGAATCTAATAGTTACCAGCAGCAACATGCACAGTAAACATTCCTGTTTTATCACATAAGCTTCACTTTTTGCTTAAACATGATTGGCAAGAGACAAGAAAAGCCCTTAATTTCATGAAACACTGCTGAATAGTCACTGTTTTTTTTTTTTTTTTTACAGAAGTATAGTCAGTTAGTCACTGCAGTTTGCTATAACCTGTGTGTTAGGTATAATGTTTGTCTTGTCGCTAAATTGGATCCTGATTCATGAAGGTATAATGATATGAGCACATATGTTATCTTCATAACTCAACACTTGCCCATACCTTGGATTCTTTGGAAGTCTGGACCTTTAGCCTTGGAGCTTAGCCTTTTAGTTAGTTAAACTAAAAGCTTAGGTTAGCCTTTAGAGAATTTCAAAAGCTACAACATTCAGACTTGACTATAGACTCTAGCTGGATCTTGCCTCTTTTGTGTAGGAAGTAAACAAAAACATTAGATCAGATGATTAAAACACGAGGGTGAGAAGGTTAGGTCGCTACGAACCAGATTAGGTCTGTTAGTTATCTTACACACTGTACAGTAGCTAGACCCTGTACTTAACTCGATAGGCCTAATCATCGCATCAGTGATCTATGGACTAGATCACTAGATGAATAAGGCAGTGGGCATGATGGAGCCATGGAGGGCTGTCAGAGCCAATTGTAGCTTTGCAAAGCTTGTCTTGCAAGCACCCTACAGCACGGCAAGAACACATGCCCCCACAGAATCATATGCTATGTCCTTTGTCTATCTCCCTATATATACCCCTGCCATTCCAGTAAAGCCATCGTGTAAAGACAATGGCAGTTTTTCTGCTGCTGCTTGTTGTTTTCTCTCTTCCCTTTGCAATTTATCCCATCCAAACTACTCCAGCATCTCATGCAGAAGTACTATTTTTCATAGAGTTCTCAGTCCTTTTTATCTTTTGATCAAATCATGTGTTCACATTATGTATTCTGTATTTCTGTTGCCTTGCAGGTTCACATTGTGTACTTGGGCCACAACAATGGCCTCAGTCCTTCTCTAACTACACATTCTCATCTGCAGCTTCTGTCGAGAGTCTTTACAAAGTAATTGTTTCTCTTTTCTCCTGCTGTAGTTGGTGTACAAATTAAGGGAACTACCAAAATACATGTGGAGCTTCTAGTAAATTTGATTTAATATAGACGTTGTGCATAAACTTCATACTTTGTTAAACAGTTCTAATCTATAATTTTCCTCAGTCAATATACTGATGTGTTGCTGGATAAACAAACACTTCAATCAATAAAATATAAAAGAATAATGCAAGTTAAGCTATTTCTGCAAATTTTATCGTGACCGTTACATTTGTTTACTGCTTTAGACTATTGTGATCATCACCTCATTTAATTTAGAGACACGTAGTCTGATTGGTATTTTTTTTATTAAAGACACTTATGCACTCGACATTTCAGGCCAGATGAAGCAAGGGAAGCTATTCTGTACAGCTACAGCTGTGGATTCTCTGGTTTTGCTGCATTGCTCAATTCAACACAGGCTGCCACATTGTCTGGTAAGGAGTTATTTGTCAGAACATACATGCATCTACCTCGTAATGCACAGTTCACTGTTGACGTGCACTTGCAAGAAAGCTCATGATCATACAAAGCAGGAACCGAAGGGGTCGTATCAGTATTCAGGAGTCGGATGCTGGAGATCCATACAACAAGGAGCTGGGATTTCATGGGCCTCCGCCTGCACATGCAAATGGAACAATCATCGGAAAGGCATTTGAAATTTGGAGACGATGTGATCGTCGGTGTCCTTGATACTGGTATTTATTCATGCCCCTGCAGCGCTGCAAATCTTGTATTTGCAGGGTTTTATTTTCCTAGAAAAACGAAATCATATTTTTCCTGCACTTTGTTGATAACAACCTGGAAAAAAATGGTTTCCAAATATTCATCCAGAAAGTTGCTGGAGATAAATTAGATAATTGAGTGGTGATCCCTCTCACACCTGCATAGAATTGAGCAACCTTGACATGAAAGATAGAATGATTAGTATGATCCCAGCACAGCATGCCCTGTGCAAAGATGAAATTCATATTTTTGTAGCACTCATTCGTGTTAGTTGTTGCAAAGTGTGGTCCTTGACATTCCACTTGGATGCTTTGAGAAACATTTGAGCTTTTCATGTGCCCTCAGGAGTGTGGCCTGAATCCGAGAGCTTCAGGGATGACCCCCACTACGGCCCCATCCCGTCGTCATGGAAGGGCACGTGCGTGAAAGGCGAGGAGTTCGACCAGGCCACCGCGTGCAACCACAAGCTCATCGGCGCGCGCTACTACCTCACCGGTTTCGAGCACGAGCTCGGCCCGCTGAACACCAGCGACGGGTCGGAGTACCGGTCGCCGCGCGACCGCGTCGGGCACGGCACGCACACGGCGTCCACGGCCGTCGGGAGCGTGGCGCCCAACGCCAGCTACTTCGGCCTGGGCCGCGGCACCGCCCGCGGGGGCGCGCCCAGGGCGCGGCTCGCGGTGTACAAGGTGTGCTGGTACAAGGACCTGACGGGGCGGTGCAGCGACGCCGACATCCTGGCCGCGTTCGACGACGCGCTGTGCGACGGCGTGCACGTGGTGTCGGCGTCCCTGGGGTCGCCGCCGCCGCTCATGCCGCTGCTGTCGACGAGCACCGAGATCGGGGCGTTCCACGCGATGCAGCGCGGCGTAGTGGCTGTGTTCTCAGCCGGGAACGACGGGCCGGACGCTTCCATGGTGCAGAACGTGTCGCCGTGGGGGCTCACCGTCGCCGCCAGCACCATCGACAGGAGGTTCCCGACGGTGATCACGCTCGGGAACAACGCCTCCATCGTGGTGGGTTTCTTTCTGCTCCTACGTACGTACGTACTCGTGCTGATGGATTGATCATATGGCGTGCTTGGCGTACGTGGTTGCGCAGGGGGAGAGCTTCCTTGTGAAAGCCATGAATAATGATCTGGTAGATAGCAGCAGCGTCTTCGCCGATGGGTAATCCGTAATCTCTCTCTCACACTCTCTGATAGGCTGCTCGTATCTGACCATCTTTTTTTTTCTGCATTTTGTGGACGAAGGACGTGCACATTCGATCAGCTGATCAACCGCACGGCGGCATCGGGGAAGATCGTGCTGTGCTTCGCCACGATGGGAACGGTGTCCAGCGACGGAGCGGCGCTGGCGGTGTACGCCGGGAAGGGTGCCGGCGTGATCTTCGCTGACACCATAAGCCGGACATCGAGCCAGGATAGCTTCTGGCCCACGGTCCACGTGGACCTGTACCAGGGCACCCAGATCCTCTACTACATCCGCGACTCCAGGTGCGTGGGTGAAGAACTCATCAGCTCAACCATGGACCAAGCAAACCCGCTTTCTAAATTCTAACCGAGCACGACCCCTGCGGTCGCAGCAATCCGACGGTGCACATATCTCCGAGCAAGACGGTCGTCGGCGAAACGCCGGCGCCGGCCGTGGCGTACTTCTCTTCCAGAGGGCCGAGCTCCATCTCTCCAAAGATCCTCAAGGTACTCGCTAGCCGCGCATGAACAGCACCTGAGCAAGAGCAAATGTGGCCCGGTCTGGCTGTCGGTAATGGGCTCAGCCCATTGCAGATTATTCTTACGCTGGTGCGTCGTGATCATGGCAGCCCGATGTGACCGCCCCCGGAGTGAACATACTTGCGGCATGGCCGCCCAAGTCGTCGCCGACGGTAATCCCCCTGGACAAGCGCTCGACGGAGTGGAACTTCGACTCCGGAACGTCCATGTCGTGCCCGCACGTCTCCGGCATCGCCGCGGTCATCAAGTCCGTGCATCCAACCTGGTCGCCGGCGGCCGTCAAGTCCGCCCTCATGACCACAGGTATAGTTTCAGACTTTCAGTCATCGAGTAAGTTCTGTATCAGGAATTTGCCGTCTCTATAATAATCCTATGTCCTCCTACGTGCTCCGGCTCCGGTGCAGCGTACATGTACGACGACACGTCGGACGTGATGCAGGCCGGCGGGACGCTGAAGGCGGCGGACGCCTTCGACGTGGGCGCGGGGCACGTGGACCCGCTGCGCGCTCTGGACCCCGGGCTGGTCTACGACGCGGGCGCGCGCGACCACGTGTTGTTCCTCTGCAGCCTGGGCTACACGGAGGCCGCGATCCGGAACATGGTGCTCCCTTGCCCGGAGCTGGACACGAGCTGCCCCGCTGCCGGCGGCGGCGGCGCGTCGGCGCCGGCCCACGCGGACCTCAACTACCCGGCCATCGTGCTCCCGGACCTGGGCGGCACGGTGACGGTGAAGCGGACGGTGACCAACGTGGGCGCGAACCGGGACGCCGTGTACCGCGTCTCCGTGGCCAGCCCACAGGGCGCACGCGCCGAGGTGTGGCCGCGGGAGCTGGCCTTCTCCTCGCGCCACGGCGGCGGCGGCGAACAGGCCTCCTACTACGTGACCGTCACCCCCGCGAAGCTGTCCCGCGGCCGGTTCGACTTCGGCGAGGTGGTGTGGTCCGACGGCTTCCACCGCGTCCGCACGCCGCTCGTCGTCAGGGTGACCAACCTGCTGGACGACGGCGTCCAGGTCCAGACCGCCAACGCCACGGGCGACGTGCACGGCGCCGATGGTTCCCAGGCCGCCGCCGCCGCCGTCTAGCCTCCCTAGCTGCCAGCTGCCTCCAGTTCTTGGCATGCGGCTCACGGTCTGAGGAGCCTGTCACTGTCAGATTTCAGATATTTCGCGCGTGGGTAGCTGTGTGGACTACGCTTCGTACCGAGACTTTTCGCGTCCATTTCTTGGGATCCTCTCGTATTGTGTAATGGTATTCGGCCTCGTTGTTTTTCTTATAATCTGTTATTTTCAGCTTATTTTTTCAACCATAATAGAGTTTTTTCTCACGACAAATTAGTCCAAACACTATTTTCGTTTGTCTTTCTACGAAAAAGATGGTTGTGTGGTACTGGTACTGGTAGTAGTGTGTGTGAGCGTGGCATTGGTCAAGGCAGAACTACTGCCACAGAATTCCATGGCGTCCCCGTTGTCAGTGGACCGATACTTGTGCAGCGTGTGCAGGAGCCCAGTCAGAGCCATCATGCCCGGATTTTTGTATGACAGTGGTTTGATGATTCACCTTGAGGTTTGGGGGCATCGATTGGGATTTGTGCTCCTTCCGAGACCTCAGTTTGGGGACGCCAGGAGGAAGGGAATTTGTGCAAGGCACGGCAAAGCCATACTAGGCCATACATAGCCAACCCGAGCAACTCCATCACTCTCAGTTTGTGCAACTTTCAGTGTTTTCAGCACGGAACACACTCCTACTCACCACTGCTAGAACAATACTACTAGTAGTGCTAGGTAAGATCATGCTAAATTGACTGTAAAAAGCCTTGTAACTGGGGGCAATTTCCAGCTCCGGATAGACTACGCCCAAAACGGGTAGGATGGATGCAGCATACCAGATCCAATCATGAATCATCCATGGAGATGGAGGAATATGAATCTCTAGTCCTTGTCAGGAACGACCACTCTGACGCTGACTCCCTGTGAGGTGCGCATCCTTCGCCACTTTTCTAAAGCCGCGGTGATACATGATACTTCGTCTAATACAATTATGAAAATTGTATCAGTCAAATTTACTCAATTTTGACTAAGTCTATAGTAAATAGTATTAGCATTTATATCTTCAAATAATTTTATTATAAAAATATATTCTATGGCTAATCTAATGGTACTTATTTTGTATAAAAATGTTAATACATTTTTATATAAATATCCTGTCAAAGCTCAAAACTGTTTGACTTTTTGAAAAACGAGAATTGTATTCTTTTGTGGACGGAGAGAGTACATCCAAAACAAAAGGCTATATATTCTAATATAATAAGAAGAGTACTATATATATATGTATATATACGTGTTGTTTATCTATACATGCTCTGTATTGTATGGTATATAGGAGTATTCTAGTAGGCCCCACACCCTTTGATTTGGTGGGTGTGGTATCGTTATCTCGCCAGCGCCGTGCCATACTACGCTGTTATTTGCACTGCGTCGATCGGATCTGTTCCTCCTGTCGGCAGACGGATCCCGTGGATCGGCGAAAGAAAAGAGCAGCGCCATTTGTAGTGCCAGTAGCTTTTGTCAGGTACAGCCTCCTCTCTTGGCGCAAAGGCAGGCAGTGCAGAAATACCTGAATACAAACTCGTGCACTTCTTACTCCCTACAGCATCTCCAAAGTCCTCTTAAGGACTTGTTGGATACTTATGAGATCGCTGGATTTTAAAAGCTAGATAGCTAGAAGTTGGATTATAAAAGCTATGTTAATAGGCTATTTGGATCCATAGATTGCAAAAGTTAAAATTGGTTGCTTCTCAATGTAAAATCACTGTACTATCCTCATTCTTTGAATTTTTTTTTTGCCGTTGTGTCAATTTGAGGGGCAGAATTGTCAAGTTGAATCTAGAAGCTAAAAAAAACAGAGTTCTTGAGCTTGCTCGATTGTGAGATCTAGAACCCCTTAGATTGTATAAGCCGACGAAAAGTTGTATTTGTTTGGATCCTAGCTAGCTCATAGAAGTGGGCTTTCATAATTTGCTCAAATCCAAACAGGGTCTTAATATCTCTATCTATCCTAAAAAAACTATCATATTAAGAGCATCTATGAGATCATTTCTAAAACTAACTCCCTAAATCGTCATTTAGAGAGTCATTTGAGTAAAATTGTGCTTTTTCCTTACTTGAAATATCTTTTCCTTCTTTGGTGGTTACAAATATTTTATCTTCTCCTAAATAAATCTATCACTCCTAAAAGTGCGAGGACCATCCAACAACTTTTTTATCTTACGTGCACTCTAGAGAGTTATCCTCGATCTTCATCTTTAGCTAGCGAGCAATCCGAAACAGAGAATGTCTACGTTTAGATATCCAACTGAATAGACTCTTGGGGTATTTTTTCACCAATGTCTCTAATTCCTAGAAATTAGGAATTGGAGTTGCTCTAAGGGTTTGTTTGGTGCAACTCCGACTTCAACACTAGCGAAAGTGTTCAACTACATTCATACAACGCTGCAGCTGCGATGGATGGTTGTAATCTCTCTCACATTGCACTATGCATACAGCTGCAGCCCGTCAAATTGTAGTTCAGGCGAACACTTCTAACTTCTGCGGAGGAGGCAAAGGAGTTGTACCAAATACTTTAGGTGGATGAGCTGTATTCTGGTGAATATTATAGGAGCCAGAGCTATTTTGAGATCTAGAGGAGGAGCTGTAATTTATGGCTTCTTCCGAAGCGCTCCAGCTCCTTCAAAAGAGCACTTGAGGAGGAACTATGCCAAACATACCCTAAAAGCGGTTATTGTGCTTTTTCCTTAATTCGACAGCGGTCAATGCCTCTCATTTCTTTGGTGGTTACAAATATTTCCTCATCTTCTCCTAAATAAATCTATCACCCCTAAAAGTGCAAGGACCATCCTGACCATTATTTTTGACCCATCTTTTTTTTTACACATGTGGACCCCATTTCATATGGTTATCGGTGGAGATATATTGTCCACAAAATTAACAATGGGCGACCCCAGGTACTGAGCCGTAGAATACAAACGCCCAGCACGTCTGGCTCCCTAGCTACGTACGGAGTACGTATGTAGGCATCACGATCGTTAGGCTCACCTGCAACTGCAATGCAAGACTAGATCGTTTCTCTCTCCTTGGAATTGGATGGTCCATCGCGGTCCTCGCAGGAAAACCCACGTGTATCCCACCGTTCCGCGATCCGATTTTCTGCCGGGGACGCGGACCCGGCCACGGAGCCGCAGCGACGTGTCCACGCGCGGCGCCGGAATCTCACGCAGGCGAAAGGGAAATCGTCCGCGGAATCGCGCGACCGGCCGGGCCAGATCCAACCAATTCAGATTTTGTTCATCAGGAATGCCGTTTCTTTCTTTTTTTGCCGTTCTGCTCTGTCGATCTAAACAATTTTTCCTTACCGTTCAAGAAAAAAAAAGAGAACAGATTTTCCTCTGGGCCTGTGTGGTTGGGTCACGTACGACGCAATCCCGTTCGTCCCGCCTGCGCCTGGTAGGGATAGGCAGGCAGAGGGCAAGCGGGGCAAGCGCTGCACGTGCGAGACCTATCCTCACTTGGTTTCTCCATGTGCCTGCGAGGAAACGCACGGAGAAAACTAGTGGGAAAAAAAAGAACGTCCCCAAATCAAAAAAGAAAGGAGGGGCCGTGTGGACGCCGGCGGCTCACGGCCGAGGAAGGCCCTTGTTGGGCGGCTGGGCTCGGTGCGTGGCGGCCTGCGCGCGGCACGCTGCCCGCACCGCGGACGCGCCGCAGCCGTCCAGTCCGATGCGCTGCTCTTTTTTCTTCCCCTCCTTTTCTATACCGTTCGCTGCGAAACTGCTGGAGCGTTTGGCATCTATCTCTGGAGTCTGGACTCCACAAACGCTAGCGACGATCTGGCTGGTCTGGCGACGACTCACGCAATTATTGACAGCCTCGCGCGCGGCAACTGGCCGCTACATCACACGATTTACTGTTGCCAACCAACATGGATGAGCTCATATATGATTCAATTCATGAGTTATTCATAATCACCCTTCGCCACCACAACTGTGCACTGTACACCACTAGCGACAGATTGTCACCAGAAATAGGCATGGACACGTAACCCTTACTATACACGGTTTGTAAAAAAAAAAAAAGAATATACTCCGGTAGACAAAATGAAACAAGGCCTGTGCTAAACGCCAGGTTAGGCACAAGATTGAGACAGCCGGCTTATATTTATTTCGGCTTATTCTTTCTCATAAAACATTATTGAATCGGCCGAAATGAGCCGAAATATCAAAATGGCCTCGTCGGCTGGCTGCCTGGCTCCAAACCCACCGGGCTAAGGAAAGGATCTGATCTGAAGCTTTCAAACCCAGCACCCGCGATCACGATTACCCACTAAACTAATCCACCAATAGACCATCACTCGCCTGAACGAAACCAGAAAAGAAAAGGGCGCGGCGGAGTAGTGCAGGCAGCATGACGAAATTAGTTTACAGAAAAAAAAAAATGGAGCGGCGTGAGGAGGGGAATCCAAAGCGGACGCCGAGCGAGCACTGAGCAGGCAGGCGGGCGAGAGAGCCGTGCGGCTGGCGAACTCCCCTCCTATCCGCGGGTGCAGCCAGCCGGCACCTGCGGCCTGCTAGTGCTATATGACCCCCGCACCCCACCCAAAACCTCCCCTTTTCCCCTTCACAGCCCTGTACCAGTAGTGTACTACTATCCCCGCTACCGCTAGCCGCCGCGCTGCTCCTCTGGTGGCGGCTCGCCTCCCTCCCCCCACCCTTACCCGCCGCCGCCGCCGCCTCCTCTCGCTCCCTCCTCCTTACCCCGAGCTTAAGCTCGTGCTACCTGCCTACCTATCCGTAGGAGAGGAAGAGGGGAGAAGGGCCGGTCGGTCGGTCGGGGGCTCTCGGATCTCGCCGCTGCCTCCTCGTTCGTTGGGATCTCGCTCGTCTCGCGCCATGGCCGCCGTCGTGCCGCCCCCGGCACCCGCGCCCGCCGCGCCGGCACCGGCTGCTGCTGCTCCGGCTCCGGCTCCTGCCACCGTCCCTGTCGCGGATCGTATCCTTTATTTCTGTGCTGCTGGGCGCCAAAGGTTTTGG